ATGCATGTTCCTACTTACTGCGTTTTTTCTTTGTCTTTTGAGCCACTTCGTTCGCCCCAGGACGCCCTCCTGGCCACTGTTGGGGATGTTTCTCGGGCGAAGAACTGCACCGGGATCCAGCATTTCCATGTTATACCGTTATACCCAGAACTTGGTTCTGTTTACATGGGAAAAGCATGTTATTCCATGTTATTCCCATTTTGATTCTGTTTTCGAGTTCTGTCTTTGATGAGTGTTCTTTCTTAAAGATGCTGAGACAGAATAGGCCCAGGAACCGTGGGTTCCATCGTGAGGCAAGTGCCTTTGTTTGCACCTCCAAACTCCAAACTCGGCCAGCTTGGCGCAAGCCCAGCACCCGCAAAAAAAGAAGGCGTTCGCCTCCATTGATACCTCCTTGCCAGTAATGGCTTAGACGTCCTTCATGTGTGGATGGCCTCCTTCATTCGTTGGCCTCCCTGGATTTCAGGGGAGGCAAAGCCGATGAGCCCAAGGCCTCCAAGATCGAGTCGAGTCGACAGACATGTTTCTTTAAGGAAGATCCACCTATTTATCCCTCCTTTTGGAAGGCATTCATGAGCTAAGAGCCGAGGAAAAGCCGGTGATCTTGTCCAAATGAACACGTGGTACGTGAATGTACATGAGTCATCATAGAACCGCATGTTTTATGCCCCCGACCATTTTTGGAGCCCCAAGTCTAGAGATGTCTTTTTCGGCCTGCCGTAGCAATCTCATTCCTCTTTGAAACGTGTACTGGACTATACTGGACTCCCTAAAACTATATATATATATACACACACTTGGAAACATGACATAGGACTCGGCTGAACCATTGAACATCCCTTCGTCAAGAACGTCCCCTTTTCCTTTTTGCTTCTACTAGAGTTGCGAAAGCAAGGTCTCTTTGGAACCTCACTTCATGATGTCATTGAGGTCCACCTTGGGGACGCTGAACACTTCGTCTTGGAGGTGGAGAAAGCCTTTGGCACCTCGCTTGGCTGGATCGAACGGCCTCCAACCGACTAGAGCGATGGCCTCCATCCTAATGGCGAAAAAAAGACTGGAGAAGGACGTACAATCCTGAACTTGACACTTTCTAGTTGTGCAGTATGACAACTCTCGAGTTGCTGGAAACCGTACCACTGAGTTGCTGCGGGGTTTTGGGGGTGGGGGTGGCATTGTCTCCATGTTTCTGGTCAAATCGAGTTAAGAGTCCAACGCGAAACTTGAGACAAAGTTACACAGAGAATCGAAGACCATCAAGAGCTCATTTCTCCGTCAAGATTCATGTGCGGACCAGTCAAAGCCATCAAGAGCTTCTGAGATTCACAGCATCACTGCATTCGGAAGGGGCTTCCCTGGATGTCCTTGGACCCCACTGAATCAGTGCACCTCCTGTTCCTTCCTGCTCTACTCAGGCTGACCAATTCTTTGGGAAGCGAATAGTACTGTTTCTTGGGCTGCTCAACACCCGGAAACCTGCCTAAGAGATGATTACCATATACATTTCGAACATGTACCTTGCCATCTCTTCTGAATATTGAATAGACTCAACCCGCGGGCTGTGATATGTAACTGTAGAGGTATGGCCAACATCTCCTAGATCTGAATCTACCTGGCAGTTTGTCTGGAGATGAGCTCGTCCAGTTTGATGGAGCTCTCACATGGGTCCATCCACCAAGCACCAGGGGTGTCTGGACCTTTGACTAGCAGGAAAGAAGCCAAACCTTGGCCAAACTGAGGTGGATGAGGCCCCTCACGGTTGATTGGTTCGGAAGCTGTGGACCGGTGGGAAACACCGGATGTCTTCCAACGTTGGAAGACGTCATCTCACATCTGACCGTTCGACACCCGCGTTTTCGTTTTTTCACTCTGCCTTCGCTCCTGATTCACGGTCTGAGGCTATCGCTTTCGAGCCTTGGGAGCAGTCAGTTGCCAGCAGAGGGGTTGGTACGACAGGCTGAAGGAACTGACTTCCAGTGACCAGGGGAAACGACTGTGTGTGGGTACAAGCTGTAAATGTCAGTAATTACATGTAATTACAATCAACATCTCAACGACAAGCACGACACCATCATGACAAGCACGATACATATCCAATCATATCCATTTTTAACTAGTATCTCTTCTTTTCCACCCTCTCAGAGGTTTCAGAACCTTCACCTCATGGACCACCTCGGTGCGCACCGAGGATCCCCCGGGCTGTTGGCACGGTGCCGCGCCACTCCGGAGGGACGGAGATCGCGGGCCTTCGAGCGCTTGGAGTTCCTGGGCGACGCCGTGCTGCAGGCGGCGGTGTCGACCGAACCGGTGGCGGTGAAGAGGAAGACCGGTGTGGAAGGACCTCTGAGGGGCGAAGCGTCGGCGAAGCGTTGGTTTGGAGGAAGAGAGAAGGGTGTCTGTTTTCTGAAAGGCATCTCCAGTGCGGGTACCTCTCAGAGAGCTTTCTCTGGGGGTGTTTTTTTGTGGCAGAGCAAGATGTTCTGGGTCTCTATCCGGAAGCATTCGGTAGGATCAGCTCATGTGAGAGATGGGCATGGGGAATGAACAGTACATAACAGTACCCTCTCCAGTTTGGCAGTCTCGGAGCAAACCATGGTGAACAGACTGGTCAGTTTGTTCAAACGCGGGGGCACGCATGCTAGTACTTGTTTGGACCGGCCATTCATATTTGGGGCCGAAATCCTACATAGGTTGATGGAACAGTGATTCCCATTGGTCTGAGGTGGTCAACAGTACGGCTGCAATGATAGCAATGAAGCTTTGGCTGGGCGGTCCTCTCTAGATCTCCAAGTGATTGGTGATACTTCTGTGGGTTGAAAAAACACTATTGATGCGAACATGAGGCACCCAAGCGATGGCATCATATGGCGACCGCCGACCAGGGAACCTTCAAGGAACATTTGTAGCTTTTGTTCGTTTCTTCCATTCACCACAGTCCTTTTTGTAACGTCCAACGTGGTTTTGGCATGTTGCTTCAAATTGGGACGATGAGCTACTGGTCATAGCTGTTGGTCCACTTCCCAGGTCGCTTTCTTTACTTATGGGACATCTTGCCTGTAGCTCACATGACAAGCTGGCTCTCCAGGTCGTCGTGAGCTGGCACGTGATGCGGGTGCCTTGACCAACATGGGAATGCAGCTGATGCTCCGTGATGCTCCTGTCTAGTTCTTTCAATCTAGAATAGCCATGGCCTCCAACCTAGTAGCGACGCCCTCCAACCAAATAGCGATGGCCTCCAACCAAATAGCGATGCACTGAACAAAATAGCCACCCATCCAAGGAATTTCAGAACTTTGATGAAGGTGAACTGCAGGGTGCCCAAGCCAAACGATCTTCACACATCAATTCTGTCTCGGCCTCTTTCGAGGCCCCGAGAAAGTATGGCAGGAGATTGGACAAGGCATCCTCAATCAAAATCTCCATAGGGTCCATATGACTCGCTAAGGACAAACATCATTCTTGAGGTGCTTAGCTTTGTTGTTGCCTTAAATATGGAGTTACAGTACAGCAAATAGGAGCCACTTTCTATCGAAAGCTCCCACATCCGTTCAGTGATCTTTGGTCCAATCCGTGGGTGTCTCTGTCGTCAGGGTCAACCAGCTGCTTCCCCTGCTTCCCAAGGTCGGATACACAGCAAGCGTTCGTTTGCAATCAGTACATCTCCAGGAAGTTCGTCCGCCGCTGCGGCGAGGCGGACGGATGAGAAGAAGTCGCCGTGGGTCGTCGTGGGTCGCCCGTCGACTCGTCCTCCTCGTCGGCAGAACAGGAAGCTGAACGGCGCTCTGCCGCTCTGAGCAAGCCGCAGACGGGTCACCCGCGGGTCACCACGGAGTGTAGGACTCGTCGATGGGTCCAAGTGCACGGAGGATGATCATGGTGAACCTGCTAGAGTAGGATCATCCCCCAGCTACATGGGTGAATGATGAGTCATGGTTTCGTGAGTTTCATGGTTCAATGGTTCACCTACTAGACTGTCCAAAAACTTTTGACCCTCCACCAGCAAGGCATTGGACAAAATCTTGAGATGGGTGAAAGCATACATGCTACATGCGGCATGTCCCAGACAATGCCTCAGGCCTGCCTGGTTTCCGTCTTCTTCCCTGGCACCACCTCTCCGTTACGCACACCCTTGATGAAATACTTTGAGAGCGTGAAGTCCATGCAGGAGCCAAGGGTGATATTGAAAAGGAGTCCAGCTTCGGGAGTGTTCAAGTCTCCTCAGAACGAGACTGGATCCAGAACACACAACCAGAGAGACTCCCGACAAGATCAAGTATCACAACATGGTGATTGAACTGCCTGGAACCTTTCATTCGGCTGATACCAGGAGAGCAATGACTTCATCGTGGGGGAGAAGAGTGACATCTCGGCCGCAGCGACCTCGATGTGTATGAAGAGGAGAGGAAAACGCAAGAGGAGGGCTCGACCATTTGGGTGGAGCTGTCGGTGAACCAGAAAGAATGTATCAGGACCATTGCAAGCAGATCGCCAAACGAAACCGGACCAGCTCCGCTCCGGTCGGCTTACCTCGCCGCGTGAGGTGCCCGGCGCCAACCCTTCGCAGTTGAAATGTGTGGCGGACACCTATGAGGTCGGCCCGGCGGGCGAACGAACGGGGGAGTGGGCGAACGCGACGAACGCCGTTTGAGCGAGGTTTCGAGGTCTCTGAATTACTCCGAGTACACCCCACTGAGCTGGAGCGTTTTTCTTCACCAAGCTTGATGGAAGTCTAAGCATCATGTATCTATGCGGCTAACCTGAGGAACCCACAGATCTTTTTCCGACACCTTGTTCTGGGAGTTGTTTTGGGTTTGAAGCTAAAGTCTTCTCAGTTGAGCCGATCGAGAAGGCTGCCATTTGGCTCAAAGAGTTTTTCATGATCCTCGCAGAAGAACTTGATGGCCCAATCCACATGATCAACCATACGCAGATCATGTTCACCGAATTACCAAGCTAATGCTTGAGATAATCAAATTACTTATTTTGGTGGTGGTGCAAATATTGTTGATTTGCCCTGCAGCTTTGCATGGGCCAAAATGCTTAATGTGGTGAAGCCAGGCTTGGACTTCAGTTGTCGGAGCTCAACAGTGGATTTTGGATGATTTTGGGATGATGTTGGTTTGACTGCAAGAGGGAGCTGGTTTTTGTTTCCCCCCCATCCGTGATGTTGGATATCCCCCTGCCAAACAATTGGGGGAGTGCAATATAGGAGATTTCAGGGAGTCTGGTTTAGGAATTGTTTGTGGAAACAAAGGACGAACTTCTTTCCTGTCCAGTGCTGAACACAGGGATATCAAAAAGACATCAAAAGGGGATGAGGGGTCCAGTTTTGAATGTTACCGCAACCGATACTTGATTTATTTTTGTGACACCCCAGGCTCTTCATACATCAAAACAATTTCAGGGCTACCGCTTGGAAATCCTGTTTTTGACCATATTTTGATTTAGTTGTCACATGAACTTTTCCCTGCACAAATAATCAGCTCGCATTGCCCAAACCCAAAATGAACTATGGGAAGGAACAGGTAGCAGGAAGCCCAAAGGAACTGAAAGGCATCAGAACCTTAGTGATGAATTTTGTTGCAAGCGGGAAGCCATCAATTCCGCCTGCGGACTGCCTCGTTGAAGCATTGATTTTAGCTCGGAGTCTGCAGAGTCCCAGGACCAAAGATGGACTAACAACAGGAAGAAGAGCTAACATAAAGGAAACAAAAGGACATCAATAGGAGCCACAAGAAGAGTTGTTGTTGTTGTTGTTGGTGGTGGTGGTGGTGGTGGTGGTGGTGAATCAACTCTGGTCGAGAAAAAAACGGCCACTTGCTAGCAAATCATGTTGATTTCATGGCCGACCAGCGGCACGGTCTGGAGGCGGAAGACGTTTTTTCTCGTGGGTGTTCTGCTGTCGATCGCGATGGAGTCGAGCCTTGGTTCATTTCAGGTTCAGCTTTTTAGTGGGGTCCTTTCTGGGGGTCCATCTCCATGTGCCTTCATGAACGTTCTTTTATTGTATATATATATATATATTTATTATATGTGTGTGTTATTTGCATTCGCTTGACAAGGAAGTGGAGTGGGACGGTGAAGCATTTGGTGTGTTCAAATCCTTTCAACTATGCCTAGGCCTAGGCCTAGGCTGAATCTTCGAGGGGCCTGAAGCAAAACAGCAGTGCCAGCATTGACCTCGCAATCTATGTGAAAGAACCGTTGCTTAAAAAAACAGCTACCAACCATGTCCACTCAAAGTCGGCGTCTTGTATGTTGTGCCGAAATGGCCGGTGTTGGGATGGTCACCAGACACAGGTCTGAGAATGATTTCAAGACGCCAATCAAGGCCATTCACTTTGCAATTGCCTTTGTTAATCACTAGAAGTAGAGAAACATCAAGTGATGTCAGCATTCTTCACCTTAAAGCCCTTTTGGAGCAAACGTGGCAACCGATGGACAAGACTACAGGCTGACAAGAAGCCGCTTTGCCGCCGACTCTTCACTCGACTTGGAACTGCAATTCTGTCTCAGGAGTACCTCCAGCACAGCACAGGACCGCCGGGCTGTCCAGAGGGTGACCTGCCGAGATCTGGGGCGAGATCCATTGGCTGACGTCAGAAGTGGTGGTAGTGGTCTCCCATGGGGTCGTTTCGGGGGGGAGAGAAGATTCTGAGAGGAGACACGTGCTGTCTCTCGCGCTGTCTCTGTGTACATCTCCAGGTGTATGACACAATGTGTCCCATCAAAGCCGCTTGCAATCCGATGTCTATCCACGAAGGAGACATGCACAGGAAGGAGGTCTATCTCTGCATGTCTCCTTCGTTGGACCCCATGGGTTCCTGCGGGTTCCTTTAGAGGTCGGCGCCGGAACTGTCGGCCCAGGAGGCTCCTCCGGGACCCACGGCCGCTGCTTCTTCGCCGTCTCGGTTAGGAGGACCTGGGAGTTGTGCCTGGGAGTGCCAAATCGGACCAATCCACAGGGCATGGGACCTTGGCACCTCCAACCTAAGAGCGATGGCCTCCAACCTAAGAGCCTTGCCCTCCAACCGACTAGCGATGGCCTCCAACCTATATAAGAGCAACTTCCATTCAATTGGGGGGGTCGTACTCATCAAGAGTCTACATGATGCAAACTCGGACGTGAGGTTTTAGGGACTTTTCAAGAGTAGGAGAGGGCGTACTTGTGATTGCATTGAGGGATCTGGGAATGTTCACGGCAAGGCCCAGTCGGCAATGGATCGTTAGGGCCAGTATTACTCAGCGATGGCCTGCAAGGGGTGCTACATGGTGCTACCAAAAAAGTCTACACAAACATCAAACGGGTACAGACAGGCATAGACAGGGGTTCTGATATGATATGTGCACATGGATGCACATGGCGATATGGTATAGAACATACAGTGTGATATTGGATCCGATGGGGTACCGAATCCATCTCGATGTCGATGATCAACGTTGCCAGGTGCTGAAGCCTGTGCCAGTGCACCGGCCAAGGAGAGGGAGTGCCGTCGGTTTGGGGCAACTCTTGAAGGGGGTCGTAATATGGGCAGTATATGGCAATAGACAGTCTTTCGGATTCGGATTTGAGCCAAGAGTTCTGACGCGGGCTACAGATCATTGCTGGAGTTCCAGGACATGTTCAAGCAAGGCGACCGACTTTACCATCTCTTCGGTTACCATCGGGGTGCCGGGGATTTGTACCCTGTGAGAACAGAAATCTGGACCAAACACCTAAACGAATAAGGGCTAATTTGTTTATTGCTGAGAAGATGCACGAATACTATCTCGTCCAACCTGGTAAAGATTATTACCGTACTCCATATCACACACACAAACAAACGCGAGGCCTTTAACCCTTTGCTGCGTGGAGTGCTAGTCCTCAGCAGGTGTGAACACTGCCTCCAGCCTTTCCAGAGCTTGTGGGTACCTCTTGAAACGCTTGGTTGCACCCACAACTTTCGATCATCCATGCGCCCCAATGCCAATTGAGTCACAGACTCGGGTGCATGGGGTTTGTCCTGTCCTGTCCATCTACGTCCTAAGTACCTTCTTAGATCAGAATGAAGTCCGGATGTGTATGGATATAGGATCAGTTGCCAAAAGGTTTTCATTTGGCAAGGGCAAAGCGTCTCCACTTGCATCGTTCGTCCTCGCGTTGCTTGACCAGGTGAAATTCCGCGCGGTTCGCCTCGGTCTCGGTCGCGGGCGGGTTCCACACCGGGCCGTTCCTTGCAGACTGCGCGTTCGGGCGTAAGGCCCTGAAGGTCTACAAAGGTTGCACCCACCCGTTGGGTAACAGCCGCTAGTGGGCTGTTTTCCCAGAAGTTCACCCCGCCCTCCAGTTGGGGACAGAGCAACAGCATTAGTGCCACGCCACTGAGCGCCACCCCGTCCCTCCCGTCTCTCGTTCCTCCGTGCACCGAGGAGCCCTCCGAGGCACGGAGGTGCAACGCGCGCGCCCAGCGCGTGGCGCTGCGCGAGAAGCGCCGCAGCGGCGAGCGGCGGTCCATGGCGGTGGTGGCGCGGCGGCTCCATGCAGCCGCTTGGGGTGGGAGAACGTGGGCTTCTGTCCAAGATCTAGTGATGTACCGATGTACCTATAGTCTATGAATGTCAATGCACGACCTATGACTTATTATATGTTATAGTCGTAGTATGTTGATGTATTTGTATAATTTTGTATAGAGATAATAAGACAGCAACCTTTCTCTTCGGCCCAGGACATGTGTGAAGAAAATACTGAGCTGAGGTGATGGAAGAGCGGGGCAGCTTGACCATTGTGCCCGAAGAAGCCGAAGAGGACCTCGGGGGCAGCTTGCTGGTGCGAGCCCGAGCGTTGTCCCTCTCTGCAGTGACTTCACTGCAGCTAGCCGTCTCCGGAGTGGCAGGAGTTGCAGCATGTTCGGTTTTGGATGTGTCAGGGCAACCGTTTTGCTGCATGTCTCCCCCGGAGGCATCGATTTCGGTACTGGTGTCGTTCGATCCTGAAGACCCGAGCAACGCTCGGACGAATCGTCCCGAACCCCGGACGAGTTTGGTCCCGGAGCTTGGTGGCAGTTCACACGGTCAGTGGCAGTAACGGTGAAGGGAACTGTTGGACCGAAGATTTGGAGGATTGAGGATTTGTCATCAGTTCTCAGCCGGATGTCTTTTGATGCACCGAAGCAGACTCAAAGCTGGGCCAAGGGGTTGTCAGAGTTGGACTCGTTTTTCACCCGATTGGTGGCTCGTGGAAAAGGTCCATCATGAGGTGTGCTGCAGTGTGCTGGCGCACGCTTTTTAGGAAGGTTACCATGGCGTACGAGGTCTTCTAGCCAGATCAAAGTCGTAAATCGGAGACACATGGTACGAGGGTAAGATCCTCGGCATTCTAGTCGCTTTTTGCAAAGGAAAGGGTTTCAAACATACAAAATTACAGTAATTACGTGATGCATAAAAATTCTCTCTTCAGCAGAAGTAAACAAGCTCTACAACAAGCCGTATGGTGCTGGTGACACCATGCCAAGGTACCACTGGGCGGTAAATGGACCGTCTTCTGCTCACTTAAATTATCTGTTTTTTTCCGTCGTAGTCCTGTTTCAAAGAAGAGCGGAAGCAGGACATGTCACCAGGCAATACCCAATGCACGAACCAGGTGGTCATCTGACTTGCCCCCATTTGCCACGCTTCAAAGAATGCGGCCACATCGTGCCTGCGGAACTCCCTTCTCACGAGCCACTAGAGCGACGTCCTTGGCTAGGAGTCGCTAGGACCTGTGCTTCTCCCAGAGTCAGTGGTTGCTGCCCTCCAGGCTTGGAAGTGGAAGAGGTTCCCCTTTGAAGACCTGTTTCCTCTACAAGCCGATACAACTATGTTGAGGAGGGGTAGTTGGATGTACTTGGTAGAGTATTTGCATTCTTTGAGGTACACTCCTTTGCCGCAGTGGCAGCTTGGGCTGTGACTCCCGATGCAGCAGCTTGGCAGATTCGTCGGAGATAGTCGGAGGGCTAAGTGGATTGAGAGTAGATCGATGGCACAGTCCCAAAAGGTGGTTTATATGGACCCGAATCTAAAAGTCATCTTGGGGTGCCAGTGCCATCTACTCTGAAACCACTGTAATTCTGATGGTGCGTACGCTTGCAGAGTGTATGCGAAGGGGGGGCAGTCAGCGTTTAGGCTGTTCATTCTTGAAACGACCAGAGACATGTCCTGGCTGCTTTCTCCAGCCAGACATCCACCCCAGAATTTGCACACATCTTCTGGGGTGGGTCGGCTTTCCACACTCGGTTTCTTCGACTACTTCTCTAAAAATATCTAAAAAAGATGTCAGTCCAAACTTCTTCGACTTTCTGAGTGAGATTTTCCATCCTCACAAGGACGCTACGAACGCGCCTCCTGGCCTTACTACTAGGAGCAAGGACGCTACGAACGGAGCACGAAACACACCGCCGTAGCTCCTGGTGCGCTCCGCGCGGAGCCCCCCCCACTCCAGGCGTCCACCGCCTCGGGGCACACGGAGCGGACGTCGCTGCCCCGCAGTCGCTCCAGCACGGAGGAGTCGTTGAGCGACAGCGCCCGGGTGGCTCGACCGGTGGCGGTGAGTGGTTGGAGGGGGAAGGATGGGCTTTGGCTCATCGGGGTGCATGAGGGGTCCCAGAATTCATAGACCTGCAGGTATACACAGATCCAACTCAATATGATTCAATCGGTATATGTTCACTAATTATGAGTGTAAGTATGAGATTCTGACAGATGGGCTAGGAATGAATGGCTAGGAGAGCTTCCCACGGAAAGGTCTTGAAAGGCTAATTGAAAGGAGCTGGAACGTGACGATGTCGCAGCATTCATAGCATTCATACAGTGACCCAAAAAGCTGTCAGACTTCGACCCGAAAGCCCCCGGAGGTGATGAATTCAGTTTCAAGCTTTCCGGGCTTCGCAGACCAGACCCGGATAGACCCGGTGATGAAGACGACTTTGGATCCTCAAACCGTACCTACCAGCCCATTTCTTTTCGGCCCTGTTTTTGAAGCCACGAGGGGGCGAACACATCCTGACACGCCAAGACAGGGCAAGTCTTCTTCCAGCTTTTCATCTACCCTTTTCCCGTTTTCAGGCCCTCCGGCCGTTTTCATCGAATGGTCCAGGTGAACTCTCCAGGCAGCTTCGGCTCATTTTCATCGAACTCTGACTCTGCCGTGGGCTTCTTGGGTGAAGCCTTGCTTCGCGCCGAAGCGGCTTCACAAGCCGCGCGCGCCGGCGGCGCCGACGCATGGTGTGATCCGGTCGGTGGGAGCCCCAGTCCGGTCGGAGACGGACACCGAGAGGTGGACAAGACTTACTACCGTCAATACTCAGCGCCTGTATTCTGCTTTCTCGAGAGGCTCTGGAGCATCATGAAGCATCATGAAGCAGTGAAAAGGGCATGCTATCCATGTTGAGTCCAGTCCAGTCAGTCAGAGTTGCTTTGACTTGGTCCAGTCAATCAGAGAATGTATCGGCCACACGCGCCTGAGAATTGGCTGGGACATGGGACGGTCAACATGAGCTCCTCACCGGGTCGACATCATTCGGAAAACCGTAGGCCGGCTTGCCAAAGAAGAGACATTCGTACAGGATATATTCTTTATACAAATAGACGAAGACCCCCATTGGTTGCTATTCTCTGCGGTTTGAACCCCCATCATTTTGAACTGCAGCATTGATACAAACAACATCAAGCAACTGCTCGTGGCATCTCGTGGGATTTCGACGAGAGTTGGCCGAGGAACCTTTACTATGGGCATTGCCTGAAACAGATCCGCCTCATGGGTAGCACGCTAATGAAAGCGAGAGAACCCAAAGGGTCCCGGTGTAGATGAGCTGCTGTCATAACGCTCTTGACTTTAACCTTGCAATCTATCGTTACCAAAGTCAGTCAAGACTTATCTCAGATATCTCCGTTTCAGGGTGGTGTCTGTATATCCAAGCCAAGAGATGATGGATGACATGCGCTCCCGATCATTTTCCAGTTCACAAGTGGATTTCTGCCCCTCTGCGGGGTTTCTATGAACAAGTGCCACGCTAGTAGTAACAGGTGCCTTACTAGTAGTAACAAGAAGCTATTAGAAACAATAAGCTAATAGCTTCTTATTCCGTTCGTAGTAAGGCCAGGAGCGTCCTTGGTCAAGTCGGAGAAGTCCTATCGTCCTTTCGCACTTGTGAACGGGATGATGGGCTGGTTCCTCTCATTGCCGGTCTCATATATATGACACCGCCATCTTTTGAACCACCGCGAGGAACTCACACCGTCTAGACGAACACGATGAGCACTGCCTTTTTGCAAAGCTCCTTCGGAAACGACTCGGGTTTTGTTGATGCTTTTGCTGGAACCGAACTGTGATCCTGTGGTTCCTGTGGTTCCTTTGCTTGGAGGTTTGCTCGAAATTGGAGTTCTCCAGAGGGACATCCGGAGCTGTGAGGAAGCCTGATTGTCTGCGGCAGTCGTATGGAAAGAAGACACATTTTCATGCTCAGGAGACCCGGGCCGGCTACTGCAAGATTCCATCGAGAATCGGTGGTCTGCAGCCCATCGGAGGTATATCAAAGCATCCTTTGTGAATCCACCTGAGGTCCATCAGAGATCGAACGTCGCCGAGTCACAGACACCCACAAATGCCGAGCAGGAGGTCGGTTGGTGGCTTTGGTCACTTGGTATGTCGCTTCCAGCAAAACAGAGCTTCTTCCAAAGATTTCCAAACGCAGTCAGGTGGCAGGTCTGACTCTGAAAGCTCAGACTGCAACCCCTTGCTGGGTGAAATTAAGCCAGAAGATTTCGTGGGGTCTGGAGAAGTCCGACCGAACTTGGTACGAAAAAAGCAATGCATCAACATGAATCACCCCCCCCAGGTTGGCACATAGATTCTACTGATGATACCTGATGTTCGTTCCAGGGAGTGCACGCTTCGAACAGCCATCGATGTCCATGTTGGGTGGATTTTTTTTCCCCGAATCGAAGATCAGCGGGAAGCAGATGGCAGCAGAGGCCGGTTTGTGCAGCTGCCCGAAGGGTTGCGCATCAATTTTGAAACCTGGTTGATCAGGCTCATGTTGGACCCTGCCAAACTCAGCATAGATTTCGTTTATATGATGAGTTTAAGGGCCAAAAAAGAGGCGACATGGGTTTCTTCACAATTGCCAGTGGAGTACCCACCAAGGTGGTCATAAAGTCATGCTAGACAGGACATCTTCACTCCTCTTGACCCCAGCTGGTTATTTGATGCTCGAAATCTTGTGCTCGTCTCACCCCAGTTCTCAGCCGAAAACAGATCAAAACATATCAGGGCGTGTCAGTCGGAGGGGTTTGAATTTGAGATTCACCTGAGCATACCTGATTCCAGAACTTCAGTGAATATGACTTGGAGTATCTTGGAAGTTCTTGTTTCGGTTTTTTGGCATCACTTCGTTTCCATGGAATTTCTGGGCGCAACAGGACTGGTCTCTGTCCATCGAACCCGTTGAACCCGCTGGCCCAAACGATTTCTCCCAGCCCAACGGCGCAAACAAGACCGGTCTTCGATTCTCCGAAGACGGGATTCGACCCCGCTTGGCATCGATGGATGCCGGCCTATGACATTTTCTTCGACTCGGAGCCTCTATCTAAATGGGACCTTTTGGCCGGTTTGATCATTTGTCTCGACCATCACGGAGAACGGGCTGCCTGCCACCACGTATCGGTCGGGTGATGGGTCCGTGGGTGCGTTGCACCGGTCGACAGCTTTCCCAGTCCCAAGGGGTTGTTCCAATATGGCAAGTGTCTGATCCTCTACCAGCACCCTCCAACAGGCTGTTAGTTGAGGGTTGTTGGACCCTAACAGGTCTCAATTGGTGACCTGTCGGAGGGTCCTGGTATATTAATATAGTATAGAGGAAGTGGTCGGGACTGAGTTCGACTTGTTTTTGGTTGGGAATGGCTGCTGGTGCGGAAGAAGAAAGCATAGTTTCTTTGGATCGCCCCAGCGACACCGAAGACCCGGCGCCCCATGTGTCGTGGGCGTGGGCTTCCGATTCCGAAGAAAAAACGCCGGTCAGACCTGGTGTCTAGTAGCCGCAACTGCGCCGAAGACCTGGCGATTCAGTTCACAACACATTCTTTCATCCCACATCCACTACGCAATTTTTCGTTTCTCACAGTGGCGTGAATTTGCATCGCCAGGCTCTGATGGCTGCGGTGCTTTTGGACACAGGCGGGGCTCTACTAGACCAGGCGAGCCTCTACTTATCTTTCACGTGCCGTGGCAGCCTTCCTGACAGCTTCTACCAACAGGAAGCCAACAGGAAGACAGTTGTATTACCCATCCTGTTTGGGTAGCTATCGGTGTTGCCGACATGTGACCAATCCTCTACCTTCCTGTCCATGCTCCAACATCATGTTAGGTTGGAGGCCATTGCTATTAGGTTGGAGGCCATTGCTATTAGGTTGGAGGCCATTGCTATTAGGTTGGAGGCCATCGCTAGTAGGTTGGAGGCCATTGCTAGGTTCCTTTTGCTATGAGGTTGGAGAAGAGAAACTCAATAAACTACAAACCAGGAACCATAAATTGCACTGGCCGCACACTGGCCGAGGTGGAGACCTGGATAAGACGTGGTCGGTCTTCCAAAACGATTTCCAGGTGTCCCAAAGCAGAGTCACACAGCAAATCAGGCGCGCGCGCGCGAGCCTCCGCAGGTGACGGGGAATTGGATGAATACATGCGTGGGCCCTTCTTTTGGCAGGGACCTGGAGATGAATACATCTCTTGGATCTGATTTGCCTGATCAAGGAGTATCAAGGGCATCAAGGGGGTCTATCAGGGACCGCCAATCATGGTTTTGGAATGTTTTGGAGTAATTACTTTGTTTTGGCCCATGTATAAGGACTAAGGCTAGGACACTCCTGACTTGGTGCTGCAGCTGTACTTGCCGCGGTCTATTGTCTATGTCAGTCAGCCCATTTACTAATGGCATTGGCCGGGCAAGATCAAAGCTGCAAGGAAAAGAGTTGTCCAAAAGTCTATGTTGATCTATGTTTGATGTTGACTTTGCAGCAAATCCAAGCTCTTGGTTGAGAAACACAGAAACACATCTACTAGGGAGGCAAAAACATGTACCCACTATGTGAAGACACGCACACACACACACATATATATATATATAAATAAATATATATAATATATATATATTAAACTACTATGGGAATATTTATTTGTATATGGTTATTTATATAATATAATGTAGTATATAAATATAGTGCAATTTATGATTATATCCCATTGTGGACCAAGGACAAGACCCAACTGACTCCATGACCTTTCCACTTCCACCATCTTCGACCCTTCCACCGGCCAGTGACTGGCGCCAGCGCTTGCGGGAGACCCAGAAGACCGAGGTCATTGAAAGCGGAGCGTCTCTTGGCGATTGATTCGGGTGGCCTCATCGATGTTCATTTCTTGGGGAGTTGGTCGGAGTTGATCGGGGTCGCAATTTTGGGGTTCGATTCTGGGATCCTGGAGATATGCACCTCCGCCAAAGGTAGTGCGTACGGCAAGAGGATACTGATGAAGATCTATCAAACAAGACAAGCATGTGCCTCTGTTACTAGTAGCTTCTCGTTCCTAGTAGTAAGGCCAGGAGCTACTAGTAGCGTCCTGCTCCGTTCGTAGCGATGCCCTTTAAAATTTGTTACAAACGTGCAAGCGCGTGCAAGCTGAGATTCCAAGTTCCAAGGCTTTTGCCCAAACGAGCAGATTCTTCCAGGAGCGCAGGCGGGAGATTTCTCCCGGAGGATCACTAAAAACCCTGCTCCATGAGTCTCGGCGACTGACATTGGAAACGGAAAAAGAAGGACATCCCACAGACCATCATCCTTTTGAAGTCAATGGATTCCAGGCTCATGTTAGTCTTTGGATACGTCAGTTGTTGAGATGGTTCAAGTATGTTCAAGTGCCCTGGCAAACAGAACGAGGAAGCCGGAGCATGCGACCAATCAGTATTGCAGTTAGTTCCCACCTGAAGCCTTTCAACAGCCACTTCATTGGACCTCACTTGATGGTGTCAAAGGTGGAAACTCTAGGGGTCGGCGAGGAGGGGCGCAGTTCCCAGTTAAATATAAACCCCAACAGACCTCCCATTATGAAGAAGTAAATCCAAATCCATCAGCACCTGATCCCAGCCTTACTGATCGTTTTAGGGCCAGTTCTGGATCAAACCGTGCTGGTGGAGTTTGCCGGCAATCCAGGCCTGCCTGAACAGCCGATAGCGAAGGCAGGTCTTGGAGACAGGTTGAGTGCCAGGTAAGCTCTGGTTAATCAGGAGATGTTGGCCAATATGGTCAATCGCTACCTTTCGGCCTCAAATCACCGAAGCCTGATGGGAACCGTTGACCTGCGCCGACGGCATAGGGAAAAGGATGGAAGAGGTCATTTGGTGCATCATCATGAAGCTGGTTTGAAGGCGGTGACAAGCCGCATTGCATACTCCCACACCGATCCACACCGATCGATCACCCGGGTTGGATCACCGATCATAGCGTCCGAACGCTACGTTCGTAGCGTCCGAACGCTCCGTTCGTAGCGATGGCCTCCAACCTACGACCGCGATGGCCTCCACCGAGCATAGCGTCCTTGCTACTAGTTGACTCCTACATTCAGCTGAAAGAGTCGTCTCCCGTTCTCGTCCGCGTTCATCTCATGTCGCCTTAGACTCCGTTTGAGTCAACGATGACAGGAAGAGAAGCCCATCTTTGGCCTTTTGGAGAAGGGTGCAGCCCGAAGAAACCTCTTGGAATACTGCAAGAGGCCTGGGCTTGGCCATTGTTTTTTGGGTGTGAAGTGACTGGGAAGCGATCTTCGTTCCACAAATATAGCCTCGGGATGTTTGCAACAAGACCTGTCCATTGAGCTACCGGCAGGGAGAAGCTCAAGATGAAGTTTGAAGGCAGTGAGGCACACAGGGGGGTTGACTCCACCCAGCCTCTATCTATCTGTCTGTCTGTCTATCTATCTATCTAATCACGAGAGAAGGGCTCGCACGGGCTTGAGTTTCACCAGCTGGGGTGTTCCAACATGTGGAGCGCGGCGGAGCTTGAGCGCATGCGTGTCTTGTTGACCAGGTCTTCGACTACTTACGACTGGTCATTACCCTGGTGACGTGTACACATGTGCAACAATTGTGCAACGATTGTGCAACAATCTACTTGTTCTTGCACATTTTGACTTATCAGCTGGGTTGGTTGAGCATGGAGTTTGTGTAGGGAAATCGCCCAGGATCATACTTGGACCTTCCAAGTGGTGTCCAATCAAAAACATGAGCAATGTGACAGGTAGTCATTCTTTTGGATGGATCTGATATAGGAACTGAAGGGCTACAGTCGCTGGCAAAAACGCACAATTATAGTGCATACATGCCTTTTTGGTTGTTTCACGTCTTTATATACTCTGTTTCACCCCTGGGTCAGACCTTCAGATGGTCAGAGCGACTCCCCAGAATGCTTCAGAATACCCGGGTGGGGGTAGTTCCCAAATCCACATGGGTCCCAAATTCTGCCGTTGGAACCAGGAGTCGAACGTCTTCAAGGAGTTTGCAGCTTACTTGAGAACAACCGAGAATTGGAATCACGATTCAACAAGTCAACATGGCCATCAGGCCATTTGTCCCGGGACGGTGGGAATGCTATTCCGTTTCGCCAAGGACGGTCATTGTGGACAGCAAGAAGTTTCCAGAGGCGCCAAACAAGCCGAGAGTTTGATAGGCAATGAACTTTTATATGCATATATATATATATATATTATAGTATTTCGATGTGTTTGGAGAACACAGAAGCCAAGGAATGGAAATGCTCCAGCTGCATTGCTGCATTCTTCAAGAGTCTAAATAAACACTAGTTCCCAG